GTGCTGCTGGTGTCGGTCTGGCACTGCAGGTGGAGCGGTGGTGCTGCTGGTGATGGCGTCGATGCTGCTGGAGCCACCCACAGTGCTGCCGCCGCCGCCTCCGTCGCCTCCGCCGCCTCTGCCGCCTCCGCCGCCTCCGCCGCCTCCGCAGCCGCCTCCGCCGCCTCCGCAGGCGCCGCCGCCTCCGCCGCCTCCGCCACCGCCGCCTCCGCCGCCTCCGCCGCCTCCGCAGCCGCCTCCGCCTTCTCCACCTCCACTGCCCTCCACGCCGCCTCCGCCGCCTCCGCAACCGCCTCCGCCGCTTCCGCCTTCTCCATCTCCACTGCCCTCCATCGCACCCAGCCGCGCCACTCCCCCACTGCCTTCCCTCTCTCCTCCTATTGGATCGCCGCCACTGCCGTCCCTCCCAATCTCTCTGCCCGCGGTGTTGTTGCCGCCCGTCGTCGTGACGTGGGTCGTGCTCGTCGGTCGCGGTGCAGCTGGTGACGGCGCTGATGCTGCCGGGGTCGCACTGGTGCTGCAGGAGTACCGAGTAGCTTGCTGAGCATACTCAAGACGCAACGCCGGCCACCGTGAGCCGGCCAACTCAACGGCTAGGGCGACGGCATCCCCTCCGGCCAGAATGACCCGCAGCCCCGCGGCCACGCGGCGATGCTGCTCCAGCGTGCCGAAGGCGAGCAGCTGCTGCCCCCCCCGCGCTGCTGGGAGCTCAATGGCAGCCCCCGTGCCGGCGCGGAGATCGTTGAGCAGCGCCGCGCCGTTGGCCATCAAGCGCCCGCGTCCACGGCCAGGCAAGTCCATCTGGAGCCACTGGCTGCTGCCCCTCCCGCGGGCTGTCCCCGCGCACTCAGAACACTGGACCATGTCCACCTGCGCTGTCCAGCATGGCATGCCTCCAAATATAAGCGGCACGATCTCGCCAGCCTCGCGGCGGGCAAATGCACCGACAGCGGAAGCGGTCTCCTGGCAGCGGGGGCAAGCCACGCGGCCCGCCCAGGTGCGTCGCCGCCGCCGGACCACAAGACCTCGCCAGAGGTGGCACAGGCGGCTCCGCGCGCGCTGCGCGTCCACCTCGGAGAGGGCCGTTGGCGCCGCGAGGGGCCGACTCGGCGCCAACGACACAGGCGCGTCGGTCAGCGGGTCCGTCCAGGTGCCCTCGTGCTCGAGCACTTGCCACTCCGTGCGTTTGACTGCGCGACGGGCCGGAGGGAGCATGAGGTTGGCGAGCGCGTCAATCCAGACGCCGAGCCCCCACTCCGATCTGACCTCCACGGCGGCACGGGCGCCCTGCAGAACGACGCGGCGAGCGTGGACTTGCGCACGGCGCTGGAAATCGAAAGTGACGCCAGCGCTGCCCCAGCGGAGGCGTAAGCTATCCATCCACCCGTCGACGAGCGAGCCTGCCGAAAGCGTGTTTCGCAGCAGTGCCCGAGTAACGATCCGCACGTGGAGCGGTTGGTCAGACGCCTCCGTGAGGCTGCTGAGGAGCTCCTCCAGCAGACCAAGGTTGGTGACCTGTCCAAGATCAGCGGCCCGCAGGCTGTCGAGGAGGCAATCGTCGTCGAGCAGGTCCAGGGCTGGGAACTGCAAGGCCGAGCGGCGGAGGGAACACAAGTACGGGTCGTGGACGGCGACGCTGCTGGCTTGCACTCTCGCTACCCATCGGCCGTACAGTGACCGCATGTCGTGGCCCTGGGAGTTGAGAGTGAGGACGGCGTGCTCGAGGAGTCGCGGGGCCCCTGGGGCGCACGCTTGTTTGTCACTAGACCCCGTGTGACTGAATCTGCACCGGCCGATGGCATGCCATGGGCAACCCAACCCATGCCGGCACCGCACGGTCCGCCGGCTGCCGTGGCCAGGGGCTCGCTCAGGCGTGGGTGGACCTGGTGCTGGGTTAACAGGTGCTGGTAGACCTGGTGTTGGTGCTGGTCGAGCTGGTGTTGGTGCTGGTCGAGCAGGTGCCGGTGCTGGGTGCTGGCGTTGGTGCTGGTCGAGCTGGTGTGGGTCGCAGTGCTGTTCGGAGTACTGGTCGTGCTGCTGGTCGTTGTGCTGGTCGTTATGCTGGTGCTTGTGTTGGGCGGAGTGCTGGTCGTGGTCCTGGTCGTTGTGCTGGTCGCTGTGCTGGTCGCTGTGCCGGTCGTGGTGCTGTTCGTGGCGCTGGTCGTTGTGCTGGTCGTGGTGCTTGTCGTCTCGCTGGTCGTGGCGCTGGTCTTCGTGCTGGTCGCTGTGTTGGTCGTAGTGCTGGCCGTTGCGTCGGTCGTTGTGCTGGTCGGACTGCTAGCCGTCGTGCTGGTTGGAGCGTCGACTCGCGCGTCTCCGCCACGCCGTCTGTACCCGCAAGACAGCAGCCGCACGGTGCCCCGAAAAGTCCCCGGCCACTTCCGCGGGAGGCGCGGAACGGCGTTGGGGCTCGTCTGGCGAGGCGCAGCGATCCTGGCGACGTGCGCCGCGCTGTGCGGCTCGGAGCGCCGGCGCGGAGAGGGCCGCAAACGCCTCGTCTGACATGTCGGCAAGTCCGTGGTGTCTGGCCACAGCGGCGCGTAGGAGCGTCTCTCGTGCTGCAGGGCTGGACCATCCGGCGCGCCGAAGCGCCACAGGACCGTGGTGAATACTTACGCCTGTGTGGTGGCATGCTGCCGTATGCAAGCGGTGGCCCGCCAGGACGGCACGCTCGCGGGCCGTAGTCCCGCCTGGGGCCGCCGTCAGTGCACGGCATTGCTCCTCGGCCCGCAACCGCCTCGCGGACTCGATTTGCAGACGCCCGCGCAAGGCCTCGATGTGCATGCGCCGCTGCCAGCGTCGAAGGCGCGTGCGCGAGATGACGCAGCCAGGCTGGTCGGAGTGCTGGTCGGGGTGCTGGTCGCTGTGCTGGTAGTTGTGCTGGGCGTAGTGCTGGTCGTTGCGGTGGTGGGTGTGCTGGTCGGAGTGCGGGTCGTGGCGTTGGTCGTGGTGCAGGTCGTGGTGCTGGTCGTGATGCTCGTCGTGGTGCTGGTGGTGGTGCTGGTCGTTGTGGTGGTCGCTGTGCTGGTCGGAGTGCTGGTCGTTGTGCTGGTCGTGGCGCTGGTCGTTGTGCTGGTCTTTGTGTTGGTCGTTGCGCTGGTCGTGGTGCTGGTCGGAGTGCTGGTCGGAGTGCTGGTCGAGCTGCTTGTCGGAGTGCTGGTCGTGGTGCTGGTCGGGGTGCTGGTCGTGGAGCTCGTCGTTGTGCTGGTCGGAGTGCTGATCGCTGTGATGGTCGTTGCGCTGGTCGGAGTGCTGGTCGGAGTGTTGGTTGTGCCGCTGCTCGATGTGGTGGTCGCTGCGCTGGTCGGGGTGCTGGTCGTGGTGCTGGTTGTGGTGCTGGTCGTGGCGCTGGTCGTTGTGCTGGTCGGAGTGCTGGTCGTTGTGGTTATAGCTGTGTTGGCACTGGCGCTGGTCGTGGTGCTGGTCGTTGCGCTGGTCGTGGTGCTGGTCGGAGTGCTGGCCGCTGTGCTGGTCGGAGTGCTGGTCGTGGTGCTGGTCGTTGTGCTGGTCGTGGTGCTGGTCGTTGTGCTGGTCGTGAACCAAGTAGTTGCGCTGGTCGTTGTGCAGGCCGTTGTGCTGGTCGTTGTGCGGGTCGAGGTGCTGGTCGTTGCACTGGTCTCTGCGCTGGTCGTTGTGGTCGGAGTGCTGGTCGCTGTGATGGTCGGTGCGCCAGTCGTGGTGCTGGTAGTTGTGCTGGTCGTGGTGTTCGTCGGGATGCTGGTCGCGGTGCTGTGCGTGGCGCTGGTCGGGGTGATGGTCGTGGAGCTGGTCGTTGCGCTGGTCGTTGTGCTGGTCGCTGTGCTGGTCGGTGTGCTGGTCGTGGTGCTGGTCGTGGCGCTGGTCGTTGTGCCGGTCGGAGTGCTGGTCTTTGCGGTGGTCGTTGTGCTGGTCGGAGTGGTGGTCGTGGCGCTGGTCGCTGTGCTGGCCGGAGTGCTGGTCGTTGTGATGGACTGATCGCCCTTCCTGATGGCGGGAGAGGGGGTCGGCACCGTTGGCCGCCGTCCCTTCGGCGGCCGATGGCGCCGCCGCGGCCATCCGACCTGCGCCTCGCAGCCCCTCAGGCTGCACCCACGGGCGCGCGGTGCTGGCTTGAGCCAGAGGCTACGGACGCTGGTGGGGATACGCGAAGCGTCTAGAATTTACAACGGCTGCGCCGAGCACCGCTCCCAGACCATTACGGCCTCACCCGATCATCATCATCATCATCATCATCATCATCATCATCATCATCATCATCATCATCATCATCATCATCATCAGCATCATCATCATCATCATCATCATCATCATCATCATCATCATCATCATCATCATCATCATCATCATCATCATCATCATCATCATCAGCAGCATCATCAGCATCATTCATCAGCATCATCATCAGGATCAGCATCATCATCATCATCATCATCATCATCATCATCAGCAGCAGCATCAGCATCAGCATCAGCATCAGCTCAGCATCAGCATCAGCATCATCATCATCATCAGCATCACCACCACCACCACCACCATCATCATCATCATCATCAGCATCAGCATCAGCATCAGCATCAGCATCAGCATCAGCATCATCATCATCATCATCATCATCATCATCATCATTGTCATCATAATCATCACCACCATCATCATCAGCATCAGCATCAGTATCATCAGTATCATCAGTATCATCAGCATCATCAGCATCATCAGCATCAGCATCAGCATCATCAGCATCATCAACATCAACGTCAATATCATATCTCATCATCATCATCATCATCATCATCATCATCATCATCGTCATCGTCATCGTCATCATCACCACCACCACCATCACCATCACCATCACCATCACCATCACCATCACCATCACCATCACCATCATCATCATCATCATCATCATCATCATCATCATCATCATCATCATCATCATCATCATCATCATCGCCGTCGTCGTCATTTGCCCCCCTACGCCCTCGCCCATTGTCCCCCCTCCTTCCCTTTCCCTTTGACTCCCTCCCCACCCCTCCCTCTGTTTCTGGGCCCGCTGTTCGGGCTCGGCCGGGAAACAGGCCCCTGCTCAGTGGTCGTCCTCGCTGTCGCTGCCGGCGTTGTCCAGGCGCCGATTCTGGGTCTGCGGGGCGGCACGGGGCACGACTGTGCAGGCAGAGGAAGCAGTGGTCCGGATAGGGCAAAAAGGAGGAGTAGGAGGAATGACTGCAGGAAGAGGAAGCAACTGCAGGGATTGGGCGAGAAGAAAGAGGAGAGGTGAGAGGAGGAAGAGGAGGAGAGGAGGCAGGGGAGGGCAGAGAGAGGAGTCAAAGGAGGGGGGGAAACAGGAGGGAGAGGGGAGGGTGAAATAAGGTGGCGGTGATACTTTCGTGCGTGAGGAACGTCGCCTGCCATGCGGTGTGCTTGCTTCCAAACGGATGTGTAGGGGCTGCAGAAGGCGGCCAGCGGCAATCTAGTGCGAGCGCTTATGGACACGGGAAACTCTGTCGTTTGCGCAAAATCCCCAAACATCCTGGCGCGTCGCCTTTCAAATGCACACGGGGCGCGGTCTTCGTTTGGTGCGTGTTGCGGTCCATCCGCTGCGTAAGTTGTGCGCGAGTGTCGTGTAAATGTTGGTGTCGCGTTCGCTTGAAGGTTTTCTTTAACAGCAACATCCCAGAATAAGTAAAAAGACGCTGGCGAGAAGAACTGAATTGTCCGGCCGGGTAAAAGTCACCACAATCAGGGGGAAGGGGAAGAGGAGGGGGACGAGGACGGAGGAGGAGGAGAAAGAGGAGGAGGGAGGGCAAACAAAGCAACGTGGTCATCGCCCGACTGTCTGTCAGTCTGGGCGCCCGCATGACTTGGCTGCGCGACCGCAGACAATTCAGTTACACAGTTTTGACTCCGACGAGGCGGAGGGGGAGGAGGAAGAAGGAAGACGACGAGGAACGGGAGAACAACATGATACAAATATGGCTCGAATTCGTATCATAGTGAAGCGCGTGTTTGCCAACGTCGGCCTAGAGAAACCAACCGCGGACGCCAGCAGGACCTTTGTCCAGCGAGCGCGGCCGAAACTCGGGGCGGAAATTGGGGCGGTTGCACGCGTGAGCGAGAGCAGGAAAGGAGGAGGAGGAGGAGGACGAGGAGGAGGAGGACGAGGAGGAGGAGGACGAGGAGGGGGGAGGAAAACAGTAAAGCTCACAAGTGCGTAGACCAGCCAGGGCGTAGCCTGGGGCACTGCCAAAAATACAAATCATACAAAGCGAATCGTGTGACCAAAGGGCTGACCAGGCCCATGGGAGAAAGGGCTGACCAGGCCCGGGGAGAGGAAGGAGGGAGAAGAGGCACCTACCAAGAACGCCTACGGACGCGTGCAGCACGCAAAAGAGCCTCAGCCTTGGGATGCCCGCGAGCTCCCTCCCGCAGCGAGGCGGGAAGGGCCTCGACAGCATCCCGCCGCTGAAGGGTCCCACTGCGGACCGCGCCGTGCACCCGGCACAACTCATGCATCCCTAGCGCGGCAAGCCCCGCGGCGTCAGCACCCTCGCTGGACTCCAAGGCCAGGCCGCGCCCCCAGCCGAAGAAGGCGTCGAAGCCGGCGGCCCCGTCGCGCCCGCGCAGCCCGAGGTGCCGCCCGAGGAAGACCCGGCAGCGGGGGCACCGGAAGTAGTGCTCCAGCGAATCCGCGGCCAGCGGGCAGCCGCGGACGCAGCAACCCCGCTGCTGGAAGCGCCTGCCCGCGCACCAACCGTTGAAGGCGGCGCGCAGGCAAGCGGCGGCAATCCGCGGCGGCGCCAATCCGGAGACGCGGCCGATGAAGTCGATGAATGTGGCAACCCTCCTCCCCGGGAGGATCTCACTCGCCCACCGCTCCAGCCGCCCCCGCGCGAAAGCCCAGACATGGCCGAGCCCAGGGCGGAGTGCAGCCGCCAGTGCTCTCTGGAAGTTCTTGCGCCGCTCCATGTCCTCCTCGGAGGTGCGCGCGTGCCCCCCCAGGCTCCGCGCGCGCTGCCAAGCGCGGAGGCCGCCAGAAACCCACGCCTCGTAGCGCGCCGTCCTGGCGGCGGCGGCGGCCGCGCAGGACCGGAGCGAGGCGAACTCGAAATCGAATCCGAGGTCGCGGAGCTGTCGCAGCACCTGGTGGTCCAGCCCCTCGGCCCCGGCGCCAGCCTGAGCAACGCCTTGTCGTCCTCTGCGAAGACCTCGTCGGGCACGTCCTCAAGCTGGGCGACGAAGAGGAGGGCGCTGGCGACGTATATCCTGTAGGCCTGAGCCGTGGTCCTGAGGCTTGCGCCCACGAGACGCCAGACGTCGACTCTGCTTCTAAACTTCTCGAGGGGCGCCTGCCAGGCGCCCCGACCCTTGCCGGGGCCGAGAAGGAAGCCGAGGTAGGGCGTGCACATATTCAGCCCAACCTGCCCCCACTGCGACACGAGCTCGGCGGTCTCCGCGCGGAGCCGCTGGAGGTCACTTCCGATGGGCGGGGCAAAAAACGTCTTCGATATATTCAGCCTGAAGCCAGAAATGCTCGCGAACTCCTGGAAGACCACGGCCAGCTCCCGGATAGGGCCCCCCCACTCGCGCAGCCTCACGGCGGCGTCGTCGGCGCAAGCCCGGCTGAGCGAGTCGCAGCGCCGGCGGATCGTGGCGAGGAGCAGATCGGGCGCGGCAGCCAGCAGGAGGGGGGATAAAGGGCAGCCCTGCCTGATGCCTCTGGTGGCGGTGAACCCGCTAAAGAGGGCGCCGTTCAGAGCGATCCTGCAGGAGTTGCCGCGGCACAGCACCTTCAATGAATTCAGTAGCCAGGGGGGCCAGCCCGCAGCCGCGAACAAGTCCATCAGGAAACCATGCTCTACCGACGGGAACGCGGCCTCGAAGTCCATGAAGCAGGCGAGGCCCTCCTGGCCCTTAACATCCCCCTCGAGCATGGCCTGCTCTATGTCGACCACGTTCTCTATCATCGAGCGGCCCTGCAAGAAACCCCTTTGCTCAGTCGTGATCGCGGGGGCGAGGGGCGGCTCGAGAAGCAGGCGGACAGCGCCGGCGATGGCCCGGTTGTCTGCATTCACGACGCTCAGCGGCCGTGTAGCCCGAGCGTCGTGTATAGCGACGCCCTCGTCGGTCTCGCCGATCGCCTTCTTGGGGAAGAGGTGCAAAAGACTCTCGTTCAATGCAGAGCCCATGGAGTCGAGCGCGTCGGAGGCCCCGTCGCTCATCAGGTCGGAGACGGCCTCGAAGAGGATATTAGCAGAGAAGCCATCGAATAGCCGCCATACCTCAAAGGGCATCCCGTCGGGGCCGGGCGAAGTGGCCCCAGTGATCTTAAGCGCGCGGCGCGCGCGGTCCCGCTCGAGGGCGCGCCCGCGAGGAAGTCGGAGAAGGGGCTCGGTCAGTGGGCGGTGGCCCTCGCCCTCCTCCAACCACCTACGGAGCATGTCAGAGTCGTGGCCCCGCGCGCTGAACGTCGTCTCCCACTGCTCCTTGAGGATCGCGGCCATCTCCCCGGGGTCGGTGGCGACCCTGCCGCCCTCGTGCTGAACAGCCTTCAGGCCAGCGGACCGACAAGGGGCCAGCAGATGAACCAGCTGCGCGCCCCTCTTGCGCGCGCGCCTCTTCATGCTCCCGTTGTCAACATCCCCGTTCTCGTCCAGGGCGTGGTTCGAAGGCCCGGAGTCGCCGAGCTCATCCAGGGCGTGCTCGCGAGCGAGATCGACGGCGCGCTGGCGGAGGCCCCGCAGACGCACGGACAGGTTACCCTCGAAATCGTGCGGATTATGGGCGATCTCCCTGAGCTTCGGACATGCGCCAATGCACTTCGAAACCTCTCCAGGAAGGCCAGCCTCGATCGACCGAAGGAGCTTCGTCGAGAGCCCGAGGCGATCCTCGAGAGACTCGGCAGCAGCCGGGGTGGATTGGTCCGCGACGACGTTGCGAGCCACCTTCCTGACGGCCAGCTTGAAGAGCTGAAGCTTCTTGATGGCGGTAGCGTCGTGCACCTCCTTCATGCTCTCCCCGAGCTCCAGGAAGACTCTCCGCTTGAAGTCGGGGTGCCTAATCGCGTAGTCTGGGATGCGGCGATCATCGGGACCAACGCGCTGAGGCGTGGAGCGGCTGACGAGGACCGGGCGGTGCGCGGACAGGCGCGGCCTCCACTCGAGGGCCACCGCGCGGAAACTCCTATCCAGCTGGTCGGACTCGTCGCGATTGGAATAAAACCTGTCGAGCCTGGCGCGCGAGGAGGCTGCGGCGCGGGTCATCTCGGGCTGGAAGAGCTCCGCGAGCGAGCGCGGCCAGCCGACCACCTCTTGGAACGCCTCTCCTCGTAGCCGCCCCGCCGGCTGGAGGGGGGGCGGAGGAAAGGGAGACGCGGTCGCGGTCGTCGACGACGTAATCGAAGTCTCCGCCCAGGAGTGTCACGGCAGATGCCCTCGGCGCGACGGCGCGCCCGAGCCTGGCCCGCAGGCGGCCCCGCAGCGCGCGGGGCGAGTCGGTCCTGTCAGACTCCCCCCTGGAGAAGCCAAACTTATCCGCCTCGGTCACCTGCCCCCCGGCCGGGAAGTAGCACGCGATGATGTCGAGGCCGCCCTCGGGGCCACGCAGCTCCAGCTTGCCAGCCCTGCCAAGGGGAATGACCTTCCAGCGGGGGTTGTCGCCGAAGAGCCCAAGGAACTCCTCCTTGATGATCAGACCGATGCCAGCATGCGCAGTCGCGGCGCCAGCAGACCACCAGGCCTTCGTGCGCAGCGGAGGCCGCCAGACCCAGTGCTGCCCGGCGGTGCCGCGCGCCCCCCTAATCATCACAATCGGCGCACGGCTGAGCAGGGACCCCAAGAACTGGCACTTAACCTCGCGCCTCCCGGGAGCGGCCGCGAAGAAAGCCTGGGCGCCCCAGTGGGTGGCGGCGTGGTCGCCCCTGTGCTGCCCCAGCCCCCTGGCTCCACCGGCGGGAGGACCAGCGAGATGCACGCAAGGACAGGGGGCGCCCACCTGCCGGATCAGGAGCGAGTGCCCGGCGGACCGCCATGTGGTAGTAGGTGCTGGCCGGGATATCGTTGCTCGGCGCACCGAGGCGGTGCGTCCAGAGGTGGTTGCCAGGGAGAAGAGGAGGGAGAGGGGAGCGGAGACGGTCGACGGTGGAAGAGGTCGAGGAACACGAGGACGTGGAGGAAGTAGCCGAACCGCGAGACGGACCCGACAGCCTTGGCGCCGCTGCTGCGCCGCGAAGGAAGAAGTCGATCTCGAGGAGCCAGCTCTCCGTCCCCTCGTCGGTAATGCATCTAATTATGCCCCAGCTCGCGAGCCGAGCCAGGGCCCCCTGCGACTCGGGACGGGGGAGAGCTAGGCCCCCCCCTCATCCCGTTTCCCGGCCCGGCGAGACCATCGATCGCGTCATTCCTGACCTCGATGGCGACCTGCTCGGAACCTATCGCGGCGATCTGGCCATGGAGCCCCTCGTGCAATATCCTCGCCTCAAGTGGGCTGCGCAAGAGCACCCGCACCCTGCCTGGCGGGGCGTAGATGTCTCGAGCGCGGAGCGCGAAGTACTCCCCCGGCCGCAGACCACTCGACTCCTTGTTCTCTTTCGTGTCGATGCCCAGCTGGCTCGTGACATGGTTCATGATCATAGCGACCGCCTTGGAGTCCTGGTTCCCAAGCTCGCCCTTCACCACGATGTCCACCATGTGATGCACGCCCGCCCCCCCCAGCCCTTCCGGCGCGTCGCGGCCAGCGCGGCAGCAGTCGCGGAGGGGGGGGCGACTGGGCGCCCGCCATGCACGGAGGGGCGAAAGCGGAGACGCGTGGCCGCCATCTCAGGGTCCTGCACGATCACCTGGTCCGTGACCGCGGTCCAGGTCTCGGAGGTCGCCTGCGAAAGCACCAACATCTTCTCCTTGCTCAAGAAGACGGCCTGACTGCACAGCGGCCAGAAGTGGTGGAAGCAGTTCGGGTCCAGGAGGTCCAAAATCATCGCCTCCCTGTCGTCGAAGATGGAGTTCAATGCGAACGAGACCGAGTTGGGCAGGGGTGTCCTGCGCAGCCTGTCGAGGAAGATCACCGCGTCCAGCTCGGAGCAGCGCTCCGGGAAGACCAGCTCGACGCAGACCCGCGGCTGCGATTCCGTACTGCTCGGGCTGCGGCGATGCTGCTGAATCTGGACCTCAACCAAGTACGGGTCCGAGAGGAACGCCAGGAACCGGGGAAGGTACTCGGCGGGAAGGTCGACGGTGGCAACGATGGACTGTTTGATCTCGAACAGGGGCGCGCTAGCCTGGATCATCCTAGGGAGGCTGCGCGCGCCATCCAGGGAGACGTTGAACAGCGCAAAACCGAAGCTGACGTGCATGGGTTGGTTGCGGCCCGGGAGCACCATCTCCAGCGGCTGCGCGCAGAAGGCCTGCGACCGCACGATTGGCGCCCACTTGTCCCCGACAAGGGGATGGTACCTGAGGTCCGCGATGCCGCCAATGTTGGAGAGGCCCTTGAGGTGCGGGATCGTCGCGACGAACCTGAGCGCGGCGGGACGGCGGGACGGGTCGGAGCGGCGAAGCAGCGCGGCCAGCAGCCGGGCCAGCGCCCCCCCATCCTCGGAGGCCCAAAAGATGACCCGCTGCCCGGCAACGAGGTCCCAGACCTTCTCGTCCCCCTGCTCGGTGAGATCCGCCGCCTTGCGCGCCATGTCCACGGCCCTAGGGTGTCCGTCGGACGCGCCCAGGATGTTCGACCACTGCGTGAGCAGCGTCTCGCCACCCTCCGTCTCTGGATTATCCAAGACCATCTTGGCCGCCTTCGGCCCCAGCTCCTTCCAGAGCGGGAGGCGGATCGGCTTGAGCTTCCGGCGCTCGTTCAGAACGCCAAGCAGTTCCTGCTCGCAGACGGACGCGGCGGCCTTGAGGCTCTCGATGATGTCCGCGATCCTCTCGCGCCCGGGGCCGCCGCCGAGCTCCTGCAGCGCCATGTCGCCAAGGGCGACCGCCGTGCGCAAGCGCCCGGATACCAACTGCTCGGAAGGCTGCGGGCCCTCGAACCTCGACATCCCGAGCACGGCCCCCGGGTCCCCGTCCTGGGGCGCGTACGCGAGCTTGCGCAGGACCCCGCGCAGCGAGGTCCGCGTCCTGAGGGATGGCGACGCACCCCGAGGAGACCGATGGGTCGGCGCACGAGCGGGCCTGGACGAGGTCCAGGTGGTGGAGCACCTCCTGCTCGGCCCACTCCCGGAGCAGCGACGTCCTCAGTGCGCTCTGGTCCGTCACCAGGCCAGGCGCCAGGGGCGCCGGTGCTGCCGCCGGGGGCGCTGTCGGCGCGGCCGCCGGTGCGGCGGCTGCGACGCCGGCATCAGGCGCAGAGGGGTTGAGGCGACAACCACATGTTGGAAACGATCGTTCATCTGGAGGCGTGTAACTGTTGAGAGCGTCAAGTTTCGCAGCCATTCGTGGCGAGGAAGCCTCAGGTCAAAACGCTGGGAGAGCCCTTGAGCCAACCGACAAGCTCATAAGAAGCACCCCGACAAGCGAAGCAAATTAGCAAGCACAAGCCAAACTGAGCCAACGAGCTCCAATATTCGAGGGAAGAACCAAGGAAGAGAGGATGTTGAGAGGAGTGGAGGGGAGGAGAGACAAAGTGCGGGACGAGGAGTAGAAGGGAGGGGGGGTAGGGGAGAGGTATTGGGGAGAGAGATGTGGGGAGGGGGAGGGAACGGGGAGAGGAGGGGGGAATGGGGAAGAACGGGGATGAGAGAGCACGTCAATGCAAGGGAGGCAAGGGCGCTGAAGGAAGCAGGGCCGGTCTGAGCGCGAGGGGGCCAGCTGAACGTAGATGTCCGGCACGTTGGTCTCGTACTCTACCTGCGCGCCCCGCGCGGCCTGGCTCCTCCCTCGCGCCGCCGCTGCCCCCTTCCTCCCCGGCTGTCGGGGGGGGGATCCAAGCCACCAGCGGCCCTCCCCGAGCGGGGGCGGTGGAGCCAGGGTGGAGGAGCAGAGGGAGGTGGAGGGGGCAGTTGGGGGGAGGGAGGCTCTCGTCATAAACAAACATTTTCGGAGGTCCAGGAGGTTCGGGAGGCACGGGACACGCGATGCTTCAGAAAAAAACATCGACTAGATAAACTCACCCTTTCGGAAATCTGCGCGGATTCTTGGGTCGGCGACGGACCTTGTGCCCCTGGGCTGGAGGCGCCGCCAGCAGGGGGTCCAGCGCTGACCCCCAACAGATCCGCTCAGACCTCCGAAAGTGTCAGCTTGTGCTGCTTCTGTCGTTCGAGAGAGGGGGGCGGAAGGACTGTCGATACCTCAACTGGCACCCTTCCCCCCCTGAAGACATTGGGTGCCAACGAGGCGGCACGAACGGCAACGTGGCGAACACCCGGAATCCCACCAGCCCTGTAGGGCGTGATTGGTTTAGGGCGTTTCTTTTTCCATCTTCCATCTTCCCTCTCACCCTTCGGGGAAAGATTTTCATTGTTCCGTATTTATAAACACCCCTCTCCCAGGCGACCCGCAGCCAACCAGGACTAATGAGAACCCCCCCACCATTCCTGACAAAACCAATTTTAGATTCACTTCGGGCCAAAATCTTGGGTCATGATCGGGGCCGCGAGTACTTTGTATTGTTTTTCGACAGGGACGGCTGGGGTACCATTGCCTGCTGCGCGCACGGCCGGCAAAACAATGCAACTTGCACGTCGAAGCGAAATCTGGCTCATGCGCGGTCACCCCGCGATCAACGCGCATTGGTTTTCGAATGGGACGGAAAGGGTGCTGGCATAATGCCTGCTGCTTGCAAGCCCGCTAGACACTCTGATGGCCACCCCGCCGCGATTGCGCACTGGTTTCCGACAAGGGTGGTGGGTGCCGAGATGTTTCCAGATGTATACCGCCAAGTGCGCAGGCGCACCTGGCACCCTCCGCGCGTGCCCCGAACTTGGTGCACCTGGCGCGGCTGGAGCAGGCGGCACACATGCGCACTTGGATTACGCGTCGCAGCTGGCCAACCAGGCGTGACTGGCACGCTCGGGCCACAAGGGTTAATTGGCGCACCTGGCGCGCGCGGCGCGCCTGGCACGCGTGGCGCACCTCGCCCCAGCGTTGCGCACGTGGTGTTTTTGATTCCACTTAGCTGCCCATCCAAAGACGACCGCTGAACATGCTGCGGCTCGGGTGCTACTTCTGTGTCGGGAGGGCATGCTGGAGCGAGCGAGACTGCTTGCGTGCGGGAAGGGTGTGTTGATCACTGTTCCCTATTGGTAAACACCCTCTCCCCCATGCGACCAGCAGCAAGTCCAGACCAATGACCCCCCCCACCACCCCTTGTGAAAAAAGACAAAAACAAATGCCTCCAAATCTGGCGCATCCACGGACGCCCCGCGACCACTTTGCAGTGGACTTGAACAGGGACGGCGGAGGTGCCCACATATTGCTTGCTGCGCGCAGGCCAACCAGGACAGGACAGGAAAGGCCGCGGATCCAGAGGGACGCGTGGGCTGGTCGGCAGGAGCACTCGTGGCTCTTGCCAGGCTTCGCTGCGACAAGATCATCGCCAAGAGCCCTCCGCAGACCATCAACGGTATAAGGGCTTGGACTAAACAACATGGGAGGAGGAAGAGGAGGAGGAGGAGGAGGAGGAGGAGGAGGAGGAGGAGAAGAAGAAAACAAACAACGATGATCATTACGCTGTTCTATGCACCTCAATTGCCCATTGCTGTCGGGGACGGCTACGTCGCCTGTTGGCCGCCTTGCTTCGTGGGGATCCGTCTGGGTTGCACAGCGCTTCCCTGACGAAGGAGGTGCCGCTGCCTCTCGCGATTCCGCTGTACAGTGCGACCTGCCGCGAAGCTAAGATATCGGAATGCAGTGTCGCCGACGCTCTGTGAAGGACCTCATCGTTGCTGATTCGTGAAATGTATGAATGAGGGATGCCCAGTATTCGTCTCAGGCCCCTGCCGTGGAAGGCTTTTGAACCGGAGCCGCTCAGCTCATAGAAGCCAAGGCTGAGTCGAGGTAATACAACAAGTTGCTCACCACGCACGCGTCGTAGATTTTCAACTTGCGCGCCAAACCCATAGACTAATGTGACCACATCTTCCGTAAGTTTGTTGAAAGCCCCACTCGTTTCTCCAATGCGTCGGGACAGCTCCGACGACACTTTCCCGTCGCACGTAATGCGCCCGCCCAAATACACCGTTTCCCGCACCGAAGAAATAGGTCCACCATCCGGTTTCGTGATCCGCATTCCTATCGAAATCTGTATTTGGACTGTCTTTCCCCAGTTAAGCTTCAAGCCGTACTTCATTTCCTCTTCGACAATCTCGTTGAGCATCTTCTGCAAGCTCTCCCAGTGTCTCGAGGCCAGAAGTGTGTCGTCAGCATGCAACACATCTCTTGTGCCCAAAAACGCTGGTTCGTCAAGAAGTTCGAGGGGGGAGAACACATCGTGCAGGAGAACTCTTTGCACGGCTATGAAGAGGTAGGGCGACAACAGGCACCCTTTGGCGACGCCTGCTCGCTGACGCCTTTCTGATGACGGACCCGCGTGATCATGTATAACAAAATACCGGCTGTCATGTATGTACGTATGTATAAATCTGTGTATATATATATATATACATATCCCGGAGCATGCTCACCATCTCCACGGGCAGCCCAAACTTTTGCAGTGCACCACACATGATGTATGGTTTGATTATGTCAAAACCCTTGGCCCAATCAAGCATGACCGCTTGGCGGGTGGAGCCCTGTCAGGAAGAGCACATGCAACGCGAACGAAAGCAGAACGGACCTCATCGGCGGCGTCGTCGAGAGAGCCTGGCTGGCTGGAGCATGACTCCTTGAACCGCTGGTTTAAGTCTGCACGGATGCTGCGGTGTTGAAGGTTAACTTTGTCTACTGGTTTCTTTCGGGACTGGGCCTCGGTCTTGAAGTTCATACTCGTCTCGACTATGGTTAAGAAATTGTGGCTGTTCAGTGCGCATGTCCGGCTCGTCCAACAATGCGCGGTAGTAGGGAAAGCGCTTCCGTGGCATAGAACATGATCGATTTGGGCAAATCGTTCTGGCGATACAGCCTCCATGGGGTTCAAAAAATTATCCTGGCCAACCATCCGGGTCAAAAAATTACCCTGGCGAAAAGCCCAACCATGCGCAATTGTGAATACCGCGTTATGGGTACCACTTTCAATGGAGCCCCATATGGGGCCACGAACCGTGTGAGGGGTGTTCCAAAATGGGTGTCGGGCGCATGCGACCTGTGCCACTGCGGCCTTCGGTGGAGCTCCCCATGGGGCCACGAACTGTGTGAGAGGTGTGCCAAAATGGGCGCCGGGCGCATGCGGCCTGTGCCACAGAGGGCCCTCGGTGGAGCTCCCCATGGGGCCACGAACCGTGTGAGGGGTAGGCCAAAATGGGCGCCAGGCGCATGCGGCCTGTGCCACTGGAGCCTTGGGTGGAGCTTCCAATGGGGCCACGAACCGTGTGAGGGGTAGGCCAAAATGGGCGTCGGGCGTATGCGGCCTGTGCAACTGGGGCCTGCGATGAAGCTCCCCATGGAGCGACGAACCCTGTGAGGAGTGTGCCAAAATGGGTGTCGGGCGCATGCGACCTGTGCCACTGCGGCCTTCGGTGGAGCTCCCCATGGGGCCACGAACTGTGTGAGAGGTGTGCCAAAATGGGCGCCGGGCGCATGCGGCCTGTGCCACAGAGGGCCCTCGGTGGAGCTCCCCATGGGGCCACGAACCGTGTGAGGGGTAGGCCAAAATGGGCGCCAGGCGCATGCGGCCTGTGCCACTGGAGCCTTGGGTGGAGCTTCCAATGGGGCCACGAACCGTGTGAGGGGTAGGCCAAAATGGGCGTCGGGCGTATGCGGCCTGTGCAACTGGGGCCTGCGATGAAGCTCCCCATGGAGCGACGAACCCTGTGAGGAGTGTGCCAAAATGGGTGTCGGGCGCATGCGACCTGTGCCACTGCGGCCTTCGGTGGAGCTCCCCATGGGGCCACGAACTGTGTGAGAGGTGTGCCAAAATGGGCGCCGGGCGCATGCGGCCTGTGCCACAGAGGGCCCTCGGTGGAGCTCCCCATGGGGCCACGAACCGTGTGAGGGATGTGCCAAAATGGGCGTCGGGCGCATGCGGCCTGTGCCACAGGGGCCTTCGGTGGAGTTTCCTCTAGTATCATCCTTTGCTTCCCTTGGGGGGTACGTCCCCCCGCTCTTACCACTTCGTGTTCGACTGCGGCTTGCAGCCATTTTGGCTTTGGACGTGACTCCGAGGAGTCACTGAGGTGACGCGAATGGCCTTCTGATGAACAAATTTATCTGTCTTTCAGAGCCTCCCTGACCCGTGAAAGTGGTAAGCGGAGCTCGTGGCTGACGAGCGGAACTTCGGTGCCCTGGCGTCTGCGTTCGACAAGACCCGTCGGCATGCCGACGGATGATGCAAAGGAGGACAGCAGGAAAGACACGGGAGTACAGACCGAGCAAGCCGACCCCTGGGACGCCTCCGGCTGGCAAGATGAGGGCCGGTGGCAACGAAGGGACGGCGCCTCGGACGATGACCCATGTTGGAGGCCTGAAAATGGGCACCACCACCACCAACACAGGGGGTCGCCTCCGCAGGGGGAAGATGGTCCTAGAGTTCGGTGTTGGTAATAGTTCGGCCACCTTGGAAGCCAAAATGTAACCACCATCGCCGAGATCGGGATCATCTTCCCTCGGTGAAGGCACACCGCCGATGTTGGTGTTGGTGACGACCTCTAGGCCTGCGACCATGGAGCTTGTATCAGGGGTGGTCCACAGACTGGGCAGACGTCCGCTGAACGTCAGGGGCAGAGCGCAATCGTGACTACGGGCCTCCGCCGACT